AATGTTTTAATAAAAATAAAAATAAAAGAAGCAAAACAAAACAAAAAAAAACAAAAAATCCCATACGATTCCATAAAACTTCCCTTAGGATGACAAGCCCACAGTGGTCTTCAGTCTAACATTACATGTCATCTAGTAAAGGAAAATGACAAATCAATCCAGACCTAAGAAGACTGGATATTAGAAAAATAGGGCACTGAAAACACAATTTCTTAATCAGCTCTGCTTAAGAGGTACACGGAGCAGCAGAAAAAAAAAATGGAAGGCTCTCGAACCTCAACTCTGCTACTTCTTTGCAGCGCAGTGAACTACCACAGGATTCAAGGGCTCTCTTTCCGCCTCAGTTTTCTCATCTGTAAAGTGGGGCCACTGCCACCTGCCTCTTCAGGTAGGAACAGATTCAGAGCTGTGGCAGACCAGTGCTGTGCACACTACCTGGCACTTGGAAGGCGGTCCGGAAACAAACAGTAACTCCTCTCATAACCCTTGGGTTATTAGCCCAATGGGTCAACTCTTTGGAAACCACCTTCCCGAGGGAAAAACAGTGTGAAGTCCAGTGTTCAGTCTGTCCGAGGAAACGTGAGCTTAAGTGACAACAGAATGATGAAGAATGAATGTCGCCTGCTGGCTGGAGCTGCAAGCGGGAACCAAACCTCTGGGTCTACAAGCCCAATGACTGCCTCTTAAACGTGGTACCACGAGGCTCTTGCCCCGGCAGAGGCAGCCCCTACTATTACATTCACAGCTACCACCCAGCCACATTCTCTACCCGCTTCCCAGCCGCAGGTAATACCCTTGCACTGCTCGGTTAAGCACCACTTCAAACAAATGCATCTGCCAGAATCCGTCCCCCCTCTTCCCTCCCCTCCACCTCTCACCATGACCTTCCCTCCCTATCAGAAAACTATCTGAAGCCAGTCATTTAAAACTTTTAATTTAAATACCAGCAAAGCCCTTCCCCGCCACCCCTGCCCCCTGCCTGCTGTGCCAATGAACCCAGACGGCATTTATCCAGGTGGGGCTAGCCAGGGGCTACCCGGCCACCCCCCACAATTCCTTGCGCTCCCCGTGATCATAAGAGTTCCCAACTTACCGTGGCCCAGTCTTCACCTCCACCGGCCCAGTTTTCAGCTCCACCGACATTAAGCTCCATCAAGTCAGGGGCTGTATGTACCCTGTTCACCAAGAACTCAATAAGGAATGCCAAGCTTTGGCACTAAGAGGGGTTGTATAAGTATTTGTTCAATGAGTGAACAAAGAAATGAAATGACAAAAACTTGGTGCGAATTTAAGCCAAAGCACCGTCTCCCGGAGGGGCGGACGGACAACACTGCCTGACAGAGTAAAGACAGGTCGGAACTGGGGTGTTTGATTGCAAACTTCAAAAAGCTTCCCCTATGCAAAAGGCCATCCATCAACCATGGTGATAGTCCCATCACATCCTCCCCCTTTATTTTTTCCATTTCCATTTTCAGAGTCTTCATGCCATAACCTGTTTCTTGATAACAGCAATGTCATGTGACAGAATAAAGTAACCATTTGGTCATTCAGAGAAAATTACCCAATTTTCAGTTCCCTTGAACTTTGGTTTTCTCTGCTGATGCCAGCCTCCCAGCCACTGCCCTGCGCGTGAGTGCCAGGATCAGTGGGGGGAAACAAAGGAAAAGCACAAAATCAGCTGGTTTTTTTTAAAGGTCAATGGCACCTCTTAAATAAATTGGTTTTTGGGGGGGGGGAAGGGAGTGAAGGAAGCATTGCATTTATTTAACCACCCCACTGCTCAACAGTACAGGCAGGCTAACGTCCCTACTTAAGAGACAAAAGAAGAGGAAACCAATAGGGCAGTGTGCTCGTAACACAAATCAAGGATCACACTTCTGAGTGCAGTATACCCTTTCCCTAAATGAGGAAGCCCCTCATTATTACCTTTCTTCTTGTTTTTCTTCACTCCCGATCACTTTAGAATATCGGAGCTTACGGGCGCCTGGGTGGCTTAGTCGGTTAAGCGTCCGACTTAAGATCCGTCATGATCTCGCGGTTCGTGGGTTCGAGCCCCGCGTCGGGCTCTGTGCTGACTGCCAGCTCAGAGCCTGGAGCCTATTTCAGAGTCTCTATCTCCCTCTCTCTCTGAAACCTCCCCTGCTGATACTATCTCTCTCTCTCTTGCCTAGAAATAAATAAAAATATTTAAAAAAAAAATCGGAGCTTAGAGGGGTGTCTGGGGGGCTCAGTCAGTTAAGCGGCCAACTTCAGCTCAAGTCATGATCTCGTGGTTCACGAGTTCGAGCCCCGCATCCGGCTCTGTGCTGCCAGCTCAGAGCCCAGAGCCTGCTTCAGATTCTGTGTTTCTGTCTCTCTGTCTCTGTCCCTCCCCTGCTCACCCTCTGTCTCTCTCGGTCTCTCTCAAAACTTAAACAAAAAAAAAAAAGTATCAGATCTTAGGTGTTACCTCAAAGTAAGAAATGTTTCAATAAATCTGTTTAGATCCACAGTTACAAGCGCTTTTTCTTTCTTACTTTTTTTTTTCTTTTTAATCGGGCCAGAATATACTATTATATTCACAGCATAAGTATTGCTGTTCAAGTGCAACTTTTCAGACACCAGGAGTTCAACTAGTATCCTCAAATAAACATTTTCCCCGTAAATGGTGACAAGATTAGAAAGGTTACAAGTCACGCAATACCAAAATAAGCCAGCCTTCATTTTGTTGGCCTGGTCCAAGAAAAAGAAAAAGAAAAAAATCAACGGTAGGAAAACACTTTCCATATGGTCTTGTTCCCCAAAGGTTGAGGACCCAGGTCAGGGGCCACCCTGTGAGACCGTGCACTCCACACAACCTCCATTCCCGAGCCAGCACAATTAAGACCACTCCCACAGCCGCCCCACTTCCAGCAACTGAACGCAGGGACGGGAACAGGGGATGGTAGCGAAGGTGGGAAGAAGAAAGTCCAACAGGCTAAACTACACAACCTTCTTTTTCAAAATGAATGTTCTTTTTGACTCCTGTTAGGGGCTAGAAACATCACTGGTAAGAAAAATGCAAGAAAGAGGGCCAGTCGGCACCTCAGAGAAAATAAAATCCCCTGGTTTGTGGCCAGGTAGCCACGTCCAGGTAGGACTCTAACACAAACATCAGACTTGGATGACAGAAGACTGTCACAATAACATGGACACTGAAAACACACTTTTTAAATAAAATATGTATGATCAAATTTAATCAATGTATGTATATGCTCATGTTCAATTTTTCTTTAGTCTTATTCCCCTATCATTTTTAAGGTCATCCGAGAAGTGGCTAAAGATTCACCACAGATGTGCATTGCTATAGTAAAGCACCAATTCCATAACTCAGATATTCTATCAACAAGAAATATACACTCTCTCTCAGAAATAAGTAAAACATTAAAAAAAAATTTTTTTTAAATAAGCACCCGGCTTCAGCTCAGGTCATGATCTCGTGGTTCGTGGGTTCAAGCCCCGTGCTGGGCTCTGTGCTGACAGTCAGCTCAGAGCCTGTTTCAGATTCTGTATCTCCCCTCTCTCTGACCCTCCCCTGCTCACGCTGTCTCTCTCTCTCTCTCTCTCTCAGAAATAAATAAAACATTAAAAAAAATTAACAAGAAATATACACTGTGTTATATCTGCTGGGCTTAATCATAACAGGAAAAAGTTTAACTCACAAATGCACACACAATAACACAGAATCAACCACGAAATCTTAAGGATCTCGTTAGCTCGCTTTCTTGAAAGACAAATCTTCACACTTAAGCAAAATCGTTGTACCAGTCGCAGAGGGGCTCCAAAAGTTAATGGATTCCTAAAGTATTTTTCCTCTTTTTAATCTGAAATCCTTTCCAAATAGGACAAGTCACAGTATCACTGTTTTCGCGGAACAGGACAACCCTCTATTATAACCTTGATCGTGCAAGGACTTTGTGGCTTTAATTCCTACACTCCCACCTCCTTGGCAGAAAGTGCCCAGGCAATATTTACTGTAAACAGAAAAGCAGAAACAGAGCGTACTCCAGAAAAAGGCACCATCTGCAGTCTAAGGGTGGAAAGTACCCACCAACAGACTCCCCAGGTAGAGGCGGCCTACAGAAGGCAGAATTAAGAGTGCCTGAGAGGAGTTCTGGGAGCATCCATCATTCTCTAGTACTTCAACGAGAGGCTGTGGGGGCAAGTGTGGCCGCACACTGCAATCACCTGGCTTTTTAATGCCATCCTCCAGGCTGCCCTCCGACCGGACCCGCTGAATCAGGATCTCTAGAGGTGGGACAGAGGCATCGGTATTTAAACACACACACACACACACACACACACACACCCCCTCTCAGACGTGCAGCCAAGTTCGTGCGTTGATGAACGTGTTGTGAGCAGCGCTGGAAGGGCAGTGCTTCCTTGGGTATAATAAGTATACAAAGTTTTTAAAAATCCTGTGTAACTCCAACCTGATCGCCAAACACCTGTCTAGGGGCCAAACAGTGATGCAACGCGGAAAAGTCCCTTGGAAAGCGAGGCTATGGGCTCTGAGGAAGACCTGCCCGGACGGGGAGGGCCAGGGAGAGGGCGCCACGGCCGCCAGCCCTTTCTTCGCAAGGGCCGGTCTGGAGGAGCACGCCGAGAAATTAACTAAAACGGGGTGGGACTGGGGCTGAAGGGCTCCGTGTGGGACCCTGGCTCACTCGCAGCTGTCACAGGAACCCGGGGATCCAGGCCCGGGGCGAAGGCTGCCAACCCGGCTTCCCTGCAGGGAGGCCCTGCCCCAGCCCCGACGCCGCTCCGCCAGGAGTCCCCACCATATGTTCGGCCGCGCGGCGGGCCGGAGCTGCGAGCGCACCTTCCACCCCGGCGCCGCGCGCCCGCCGGCCGGCGCTGCACGGGCCCCTGCCCGCAGGGCGGACGCGCCCCCGCGCACCTGGCGGAGCCCCAGCCTCTGCGGCCCCGCCGCCTCCGAGACGCGTCTGCCCCGGCCCCGCGCCCGCTCCCGCCTCACTCACCGCCGCCCGGGTCCCGCTCCCGCCGCAGCCAGCAGAGCCCGGCCCGAGTGCCGGAGCCGCGGCGCCGCCAGGAGGCCGGGCGAGCCCGCCCCGCCCTCTGGGGAGGAGGGGCAGGGGGCCGCGCGGGGGCGAGACCCGCCCGGGCGGCCGCGGGGCAGGCGCGCCCCTCGCTCCCCGCCCCGCCTCGGCCCCTCGCACCGCCCTCCGTCCCTCGGCACCCCTGCGCGCGCTGGCCGCGCGCACCGCCCCGCGCCCGCACCCCGTCGCGCCTCACCTCGCGCCTCGCACCTCTCTCCCGCGACGCTTTGTCCTCGCCCCGCCCGGGATCGGAATGTCCTCCCAGCGCCCCTCCACCACCGCCGGGTGTCTTTCTTTCCAAGCCTCCAACTTTCCAAACTCCCTGTTTCACAACCCCCACCCCCGCGTGTCTCTAACCTGGGGGCCTGGAGCCCAGTTTTCGCTTTACCCTTCTCTGCAGCCCTTTAATCCCAAAGGAGCGGAAACTTAAAGTGTAACTTTTCTTCCGTCACAATCAACTCAAAAATATTAACTGAGCACCTAGTATGCCTATACACAGGTGGAGGGGTATCAGATGATAGGTGACGCTTACAAATTAACAATAATAAAAGTCTGTCCCTGCTAGGGAGGCAGAGGAGTGAGGTGCCGCAGGTCACACAGCTGACGGTAGTAAGACTGGGATTAGAAACCAGATTTCCAGCACGGAGTTAAGGCCCATTTCAGGGGAAACTGCTGGACGCCCCTGACCAGCTGTGAGAGCTTCCGACCGTGTGAAACGAAGAGCAGGGTATACGTAGCCAACCAGGTTGGGAAGGCTGCCTGAGAAAACATATGGAAATGTCACACAATTGGTACTTAATAAGTCCATGATTGCTGACATACTGAATGAAACAGGCACTTGAAAACTCAATAATTTAAAGTAACGACATAAAAAGGCTTAAATAGTAATACTGAATTGAAAAAGTGTATTGGCCAACTATGTATCTGATAAGGGATTCATATCCAAACCATATAAAGAACTCATACAACAGAATAACAAAATAAAAAAACAAAAACAAAAAAAAACAAGCTGATTTAAAAATGAGCAGAGGATCTGAATCGACACTTTTTCAAAGACTTACAGATGGCCAACAGATACATGAAAAGATGCTCCACATCACTATGCAAAGGACATCAGGGAAATGCAAATCAAAACCACAATGAGGTATCACCTCACACCTGTCAGGACGGCTACTCTCAAAAGAACAAGCGTTGGTGCAGATGTAGTGACAGGGGACCCTTGTGCATTGCTAGGAACGTAAATTGGTGCAACCGTCACAAAAAACAGGATGGCAGTTCTTCAAAAATGTATAAGTAGAACTACCGTATGATCCAGCAATTCCACTTTTGGGTATTTATCAGAAGAAAATGAAAAACACTAACTCAAAAAGATATGTGCGCCCCCATGTTCACTGCAGCATTATATGAACAGCCAAGATTTGGAAACAACCTAAGTGTCCATCAGTGGATGAGTGGATAAAGAAAATGTGACATATAGGTAACATATACAAATGTATATATGAATAAATGATAGATATATATGAATTTTGTTTCAGCCATTAAAAAAAGAAGGAAATCTTGCCATTTGCAATAACATGCACGGCCCTTGAGGGCATTATGCTAAGTGAAATAAGTCAGAGAAAGACACTACCATATGATCTCACTTATACGTAGACTCTAAAAAAAAACAAAAAGAGCTCATGGACACAGAGAACAGATTGATGGTTGCCTGAGATGAGGGTTGGGGGGGAGTAAAATGATTGAAAAGAGTCAAAAGGTACACACATCTAGTTATTACAAAGTCATGGGGATGTAATGTACAGCATGGTGCCTCTAGTTAATATTGTACTGCATATTTGAGAGTTGCTAAAAGACTAAATCTTAAAAGTTCTCACCACACACACACAAGTCTTTGAAACTGGATATTAACTAGACATATTGTGGCGATCATCTCACAATACAAATATCGAATCATTATGTTGTACACACACTAGAAAGGAGGATGGGGCCAGACAGAAGCCTTTGAAAAGGCATCAAATACCAAAGTGAGGGGGCTCAAGTTAACCAAACAGTACCTGGACACTGCAAAATGGTTAGAAGAGAACTCGCATCCTATGGAGGGAAGGCATTTAAATGGTCCTGGAGCCTAGGAATGGCAGATCTGCAGCCTGGGAGGAACCAGCAAAGCAATGAGAAGGGTTTGTCGCCAGACAGAACTGGGAAGAAGGAGCCAGGTGCATGCAGTGAGGGGCTGGAAAAGGCAAAGACAAAGCTGAAACAAACAGATTTCCAGACCCACGGCTTGGAGCACTAGAAATGAGAATGATTTTCTACCTCCCTGGCTGTGAAGTAATGATGGTACTTTTCAAGGGAAATAGGCCTGCAGGCAGCAGGGGTGGGGGTGGGAAGTGGAGGGCCAGATGTTAAATCATCCAGGTGGAGGGTGAAGGAAAGTAAGGGCCAGACCAGATGTGAGGAGAGAAGAGCGAAGTGCAGAGGAGGCTGAGAGCACCAGCCAAGGTACGTGACAGCTGTCAGGAAGACCCAGGGAAGTCTTGGATGGCTACCGATGGATGGGTGAGTGGTTCATGAATAAAAGGGTGGTGGTGCTAAACTTCACTTATCTTACTTCTTCCCTAGATTCTTACACAAGGAGCTATAGAAAGCCTGTGTTCAGTAAATATTTGTTAACAGTCTAAAAAGCATTAATCAGCAATTGCTTCCCCCCACCCCCACTTCGAGGCTAATATTTTCCTGATAACGAGAATAAGGGGAGGCTTTGGGGGCAAGGAGAGAAGCAGGGCAGAGATTAGTTTATCAGAGAATTTGTTTTTGATGTGCTATTAATCAGGTTGCATCCTCAAGCTCCTTCCGCCTCAACCAAAAGCAAACATTTCTCTTCAGACAAAGCTTCAGAAATTTTGAAAAACACGCTTCCTTTGTTTTTATTCAATGTAAGTCTCTCTCCCTTGACTGTTGCTACTGAGCCTATAGACAGAGGTATTTTTGTTTTTTGGCTGTTGGTGGTGGCGGTGATGGTAGTGGTGGTGGGTTTGTTTTTTTTTTAGTTCTTTTAGATTTTAGATTTTGGTTTTTGTTTTCATTTTTGGTGGGTTGTTTTGTTTTGTTTTTTGTCAATTGCAGCAACTTGCCAGAAGAGAAATTTTCAGGAGGAAGAGTAAGAAACATCACCTCTTTTCTCCACCAAAATTTGTATACACAGAAAACCTGATGCAGAAATATTCAGAGAAATGCTGTGGTATGAACAACATACTAGTAGTGACGTACAACACAGGAGGGGCCATGGGAGAAAAGCCCCGTCATGGAATGCTTCCTGTGGCTCTCACTCTGAGGATGTAGTGAGTGCGGGTAATAGAGGGAGTGTGGAAGGGCATTCATAGAAGGTGACATCAGACCCACAAGACAGGAAACAGGAGGAAATGAATAAAGCAGAAAAGGGTAAAGTGGTTTATTTGGTTGAAGTGGAGAAACTGCTTGGGAAGAAGGTGAGGTTGGAAAGGGTCCCAGGGGAGAGGACTCCCCATTGGAGCCTTTGGAGAAGCTGCCATAGTTTGGGTGGCCCTGGAAATAGAGCCTGAGACAGGACATAGGTCAAGTGGTAATTCCAGAGAGGATCCGTGGAAGCAGAGTGAGGGAGCAGGAGAAGTGAGGCAGGGAAGGAGGAAGCCCCCATTGGGGTGTGTTGTGGAGACCAGCACCATGTGCAATGGCACCTCTGAGGAAGCAACGCAATGCCTCCCTCCACCCCCAGAATTGACAACCTGAAGGTCAGAGGGTCTGGGAGGAGCTGGAGTATTTTCCCAGAAGTCTGGCAAGGGCTGTCCCTAGGGAGCTACATTCCCCACCCCAGCTCCCTGGGGCAAAAGTGCTCAGTCGAGGTGGGCAGCTATCAGCACTTAGTGACACTGAGTCTGAGTGAACTGTCTCAGCAGCTACAGCTCTCACAGTGTGCCTGGCTCCTCAGGACCGGCCTCCTACAGCTCTGGCACCTTCTCTTGGTAATATGACCCCTCTTCATCCCCCCCAAGCTATTTCTTAGTGGAGTGACTCCCCCTTGATCCCTACAGGTCAGACTTCCAGCAAATTCCACCGGCCTGGCACCACAGTGACTTCTCTGCCATCTAGTGAGTCCTACTGTGCCCTCTCCAGCAACGCCTGGCTCTGAGGCGGAGCAGAGGAGAGGCTGTTCCTCGGGTGCCCTATCCCATTGCTAGACCATCCACCTTTCCCACATGAGGTTAAGAATGTCTGCCTCAAACTATTCACTTTTCAAAGTGTTCAAAGTGTTCACTCTCACAGGTGCAAGAGGAAGGTACTTAATATACCAAACAAGTTAAGTTTCTGTTTGAAGTTCTAGAGTCCCTTGGGCAGGCAAGCTTGCGAGGTCCTCCTTCTGCCCACAGAAAAGAAAATCTAACCCCTTGGCAAGGTGTGGAAAGTCCCACATACTCTGGCCCAGATTGCCGGAGAACTTTACAAGGGGGCCTTGCCCCTGCCCACCCCACCCCTACACCCTCAGCCTGCTCTCAAGGCTCCGTTGCCTAGAGTGCCCTTCCCTCTGGCTCTTTATCTTTTTATCTTTAAAGGTTTAGCTCAAACCCTTCCTCCTCTGTCCTCGCCGTCTTGCCTTGCAGAGTTTGATCACAGCACCTATTTATTTATATTTCAGTCCCCGCCCCACACACACACACGGCGAGCTCCTTAACTGTCTGGAGAGGGCTAGATCCCTCACTGAGTCTCCCGCCACTAGCATGTAGCAGGTGTTCAGCAAATGTTTGATGGGCGAATTAATAAACACACACTAGTCACTGCACACAGCCACAACCATCAGGAAATGCCACCGAAAACAGGTTCTGAGTTCATCATTTGGTGGTCAGACAAGGGAATAGCCAAGCCCATCTGAATTCTAACAAAACTCGCCCCATGGCCTTGGACTCGTAACTTAATATCTCTGTGGCCTGGATCCC